ATCAGGAATCGTGACGTCGGGAGAAAATCAAACATGTTTGAAATTTAGTTCCACTCTGACTGGCTGTCATGGTTGCGGAGGCGTGGCCTAAGATGGCTGGATGATGAAGTTATTGGTACATGCTTTTACATGCCCTTTAGTCCTCATTAATATATATATATATATATATATATATATATATATATTATTTTTTTTAATATAGTATAATATGGAACCTTTATTTATTATTTTTCCAATGAGAAAATCAGATAAAACAAAAACTGTCTCACTAAAATGATTGTTGTTACTTTGAAAGGAAAGCCATTATAGAGTGTTATACAAACTGTACAATGACTTCTACCCATTTTTTCAAACTTAAATATCCTCTAATAAAATATTTCCGATGCCAGGGATGTTCTTGTTTTTGTGAGATACTCGGTACACCAGAGAAAATCCATTTGTTAAGGTACAGTAATCTACATCCTAAACTGTGGCTGTCCTTGCTGTTAAATTTGCCCACCCTGTCCTACATTTCCACAGCATGTAGAGCAGATTTATTCTTGGTAATCATCTAATATATTTCCATTATATTACATCTCCCATTTAACTTTAAAGGGTATCATTGCTGAAAGTATATATGGTGGCGTATTTACATCTCAGCTGAGTTCTGCATCATATTCATACTGGCTTCAGATGCACAGTTTTAATCCAGTGATGCTGTTGGCGCATTAATCCCCAGCCGGGTGAAGCAGATGGCTGCCCTCATGAAGTCCGGTTTATGCTGGAGGTCTCTTCCTGTTAAAGGGGAACCCTCCCCTCTGACTCTGTATATTCTCACAGGACACTATTACCCTGAACTGGACTCTGTTAAAACAAACCAAACTGGACTGGATTTATTTGGACTATTTCAAACTGTTTACATCCTCTTTAAACCAGGGCTGCAGAGCTACAGATTTATCCTGTTTTTCCTCTTCTGAGAGACTCTAAAGTCTTAAATCATTAATCCCATTATATTAAAAACAGCCAGTAGATACTGGGCAAAAATCTGTTTCCAAATGATGATTTTTTTTTCTTTAATTTAAACCTACTAATCCCTAATAAACCTAATAACTGTTCCAATATTGTTAATCATTTTTTTATATCTCCATGGAGGACTGTTGGCTTATTTCAACCACTGGAGGTTTTGCAGCATGGTTGACCTTTTTCAGGTCATGCCACAAAATTTCCCTGTTGGTTAAGTCTAGACTTTGACTAGACCACACAAACCCACCCATGTCTGATGTTATGGAAAGATCCAGAAGTGGATTTGCTTGTGGGGAAACCTGAGGTCTCTTGAGCATGAGGCCACAGACTGAAGGTCGGACATTCTCCTCCAGGGATTTCTGTTAGAGAGCAGAATTTACTGTCCCTTCTGTTCCAGCAAGTTTAAGTCCAGCTAAAGCAAAGCATCCACTTATAGCTCATCATCACCACGTTCAAATATGTGCTTTGTTTTTCAGAACTGATTCCCATTCTGAGACAGACCATTCTCTTCTTTTAGGTCTGCAGTCGTTTTTGACACTCAGCTGTCATAGAGGACATGTTTTATCCACTTTTTTATTGTTGAATCGTGAACTCTGACTTTAAAGTATTAAACCCTGCAGCCAGGGCTTTAAATGTTGCAGTGGATTCCTTTGTGACTTTCTGATTCAGTCCCTCTGTTATGCCAGAAGCCATGATATTAACTTTGAACACTGGTGAAGGAAGATGCAGTTTTACTCTGCTGCAGCAAACACTCCC